AGTTGTGCTGCTTTCTGTACGTTTGGCGTGAATAGTTCAGGTTGAACAACAATCGTCTTTTCTGTCCAATTAACATCTGTATCATCCATTCCTTTGTAAACATATTATATCACGATATTACACTTATTAGGGTTAGCATACTGTATTTTTTTTGGTTTGAAATTAGAGAGTTGGCATTTATTGCAATTATTTTCAGATGTTTTAAGTTTAATTTATATGTTTTTTAATGTAATTGTTGGTTTAGTGGATTTTGGTTATTCGTCATCTGTACTATTGAAAGTGCTGAAGATGGCGTCGATCCTTTCTTCGTGCGTTGATAGCGTCTTTTTTTTTTCTTTTTTGATAGCGTCTTTTTTATTTCATTTAATTGCATTTCTTGTTCTTTTAACGCTTGGAGAATACTTTTTTTGAAGTCTTCAATAACGTTTATAATGTTTAGTTGGGGGGTGTTATCGGTTGTAATTGAGCTTTGGTTTGAGTGCGGATCTAAGTTTGTTGTTTGTGGTGTGTTTTCGATTATTTGATTCAATTTTGTTGTTTCACTACGTCAGAGAACTTTAGTTCTGGGGCGTATTTACGGCTTATTTGGGCAATTCTTTTTTGATTTTATCGGCTAGCTTTTTGCGCAGCTCTACGAGTTTGGGGCACCCCTTGTATGACGCGGGGTGTCCGTAGTTTTTGCAGTTAACGCAGAATATTTTGTCTTTGGTTACTGCGTCTTCTTTTTTTATTTTGCACTCACCTGGACCATGGGGCTCAGTGCATTTTACACAGCGGTAATTTAGGCTACAGTTTTGCGCTGTGTGACCTAGTCGCTAGCATTTGTGGCATTGTGTTATGTCATCATTTCTTTTTTTATTATTTTTTCCCATTTTATCCTGAAGTAGTTAAAATGGTTAATTTTTAACAGGTTACTTATATTGCTGTGGGGGGATAATTGTATTATGTAAATTGGGAGCAATATGTTGTTCTCCCTTGATCTTTTTGTCGGAAACCGTGAGACGTCGTCTATTTGTAAAGCTTGTAGATCTGTGAGTATTTCTGCTTCAGTGTAACTATTGTCTAAACCTTTCAACAAGTATGTGTGTTTCTCTGTTTTGGGTGTGTACGTGTAAAAGGTTGTGTTGGCTGCGAGGAGTGTTTCTTTGGCTTTGTGGAAATCTGGTAGGTTTCGGAGGTAAAGTGCATGTTTACTTGTGTGTATTCTTTTAATATGAAATTGTTTGATGTTTGCCACTTTTTCTACGAGCGCTACTGTGTCCTCTGGGTCTTGTAGTGTTATGTTGATTGGAGATGGCTTGATTTCCCTTGTAGTGGATGGGGCGTCCGTGCGCTCCTCTGCGGTGTGTCTAGTGGAGTGTCCGTCAGGTGCCCGGTCCCCCCGTGGCGATGCTGGTGGGGCTGGGCCTCCTGGGTTGTTCGATGAGGCCAGCCGCCCCTGCGGCGTTGATTGCTCTGTTGTTTTTTTTTATTTGTTCTGATGTTGAGCTCGATGTTGAATTGTTTGGTGGTCCCGGTTGTGATTGAGTTTGTGGTTTTGATTGTAGTATACTGAATCTGTTTTTTGTTGTGATCGCTGGAAGTGAGGTAGCTTTTATGGGCTTCATGTTTTTGATTTCTTTGGCCTTTTCTTCTTGGATAGAGTGATATTCTTCGTCTGTGTTTTCCAGGATGCTTTTTAGTCCTTTGGTCCTGGCAACCAGGTTTGATTGTGGGTTGAGTTTCTGCGTCTTTTGCGCGTAAGTCAAACTATTGTTGATTTTTTTGGCTGTTCTTTGCGTGTTTATTTTTCTTTTGATGGCTTTTTTTATTGAGTTTAAGGTGGGTTCCGTCTCCTTGCTTTCGGTTTCATTATCGATGACTCCTATTTTTTTTATTTATTTTATTTTGTTTTATTTAATTTTTTTTATTTTTATTTATAGCGATGATGCCACTGCAATATTTTTCACTTTTTGTCACTTTTGTCACGTTTTCCTTCTCTTTTAGTGAATGGTTGTCTACTTTGACGTGCACACTGTCAGGACCTAAGCCTAATGTCCCTTTCTGGGCTGAGAGGTCGGTCCTGATCGGAGGTTAACGGTCAACTGACGAGAACGAGTGCACTCAACGTGGTTTGGGCGTTGGCGAAGGAACAGTAGTCTTAGATTTCTTATAACATTTTACGAAATGGTAAAAGAAATCAGAAATCCCAAAACGATTAGCAATGAAACCTAACGATCAATCTTTCTATCAATTGACTAAAACAGAATTAGGAGAGTTTGACGAGACAATATGGTTACGAAAAATTAATGACATATTACGAAATAACAAGAAAGTAGGTATAGGAGACAACACGTTTGCAGAATTAGAAAAGAACCAGATCAAACTTATGCTTCTATATTTCAACAATACCTGATACCCTGTCACTTTTGCATGGGACCCAATCCAAGAATTAACCAAGGAGGAGATAGAGAAAATAATTCAGGAAAAATCATAACAGTACGATAGGGCATTTAGGAATCCAAAAGACATACCAAAGAATCAAAGAACGATTTAAGATCCCAAATTTAATGAGTAGAATCAAAGATCTTACAAAAAATTGTGCCATTTGTCAAAAAGAAAAACTAGTTAGAATACGACCTAAGGAAGAACCAGCAATTTCAGACACATCTTTAAACCCCAACGACAAAATAGCCATGGATATTATAGGACCAATGACTAAGCAAGGAAACCAATTTATCCTTTCGATTCACGACGAGTTGACGAAATACTAGTTGACTTGATACTAGTTCCACCAAAGACGCAACAAGGCAAATCCATTATTATCGCGCTATTAAATCAATATATTTGTCGGAGATGAAAGGAGATCGAAGCCTTCCTTTTGGAACTTCGGGAAACCCCTATACTATATAATTGTCGTCATTCAATCCGATTGTATTTGTTCAAGATTTGTGATAATGAGCTTGGGCTCGAGGCGACAGCCAGTCGTCGAACGTAGCCGCGGTCACGGGATGAACGCTTTGCCTAACAAAGGTATGGAGTAATTCTATAGCTCTCCTTAAAAGAAATATTTGTAGCAGCACGCGACAGTAAACATTCTAACGGTTTCTGCCCGTGGCTCGCCACACGCAGATCCTATTCTTCGGGAATGATGGTTACCAGATGCCGACGTGTCTCCACAGTACGTGATCAGCTAGCCCGAGGGCCGTTATAAACACTAAGATCTAGTTACCTAAAGTCCTTCAAACAGACAAACAGTCTTTGTCCCAACTACGGGAAAATAGGGGAGACGCAAGATGCGAATGCGATGCGAATTTACGAGTAATAGCCGACATGAGTACAAAAATCAATGAATTAAAAGACGACATGCGTTCACTCAAGACAAAAAAGGAAATCGAGACACCCGTATCACCGCCGATAATTCCCTAGGTGACAATACCGACAGACGGTAGCCCCCAACCAATTAAGTTAAAAGACGCGATCGAGTCAGTACTAATATTCGACAGATATCGACCCTCAGTATTTCAATATTTAAGAGCATGCGAGCGCGCACGAAACATGATTCCGCGGCATCAGGAGCCAACTCATCGACAAAAAGATTAACGCCTTACGGTCAGTGAATATTAACAAAGAATCCGACTTAGATCTTTGCGAGTGCGTACGACTACCATCCCGTTGTCCGCGGATTCGTTATCGAATCTAAGACCATTGTCACTAGCGTCGCGAGTGTGTGATCATTGTGAGTTTGTGTCAACTCTGTAACAATTTTGTATGTGTCAATAAAAATAACTTCAGTGTAAAAAAAATGGATAGCTTCAGTGAGGAATCCTTACCTGTCCCAAGCCCCCGCCACGAGGACGACTCGGGCCCAGATTCGGACTTTGACTCGACACATATATTTTATTTTCGTTTCAGGCTCTTAAGTTTGTGTCTTGTCACAACGTCTCTACCGAAGAATGAGACGCGCTTTTCGAAAAACTCTATCTATGCAATACAATTTTTTCATCCTCGATGGTAATTATAACGCGAGACACGTTCCCTGGAGCAGCACGTTAAATAATAACAGATACGAGAACCTGTGACACTGATTTAACGAGTAACAGGTAGATCTGATCCTCCAGTTCAGTGACACTGGTTTTGATGGCATTTGATTTGTCACGGTGCAGTCGTTCTTGGATTTCGTAGTCGCGGAAAAGCTGGATATTTTTCTGCACCGAGCTGTCAGAATTTGATATCTCTGTAAACGATGATAAGAACACTGAGATAACAGTCAGTAGTACACAGTCAGCAGAAGTAGAGATCGTCCTCCAGACCATAAATAATAATATCCTTTCGGCCCCAGAAGTCTCCATTACAGCTCTCACATTGCGTTGAGAGATATCCGGATTCCCGCTTCGGAGGTTTTCTTCAAGACAAACACAGAATCTCCCGCGTCCTTAAATCGGCTGAAGAAGCGCTTCGACACACTGTGTTACTTTATCTCATCGTTCATCGAACGCGGCAAGTGCTATAGAGCTATAAGATCAGGAAAGCCCCTGATAGATCCACCAATTCTCTGGATCCAAAAAATCAAAGATTCCAAAAGCATTTTTCCGCAAGTTGACGTGTGCTAGGCAACAGGGCTAACTTCGTGATCGGCACCCTGAAATTTTCTTCAAACGATTCTCACCATCTTCCACAGTTGAACATCCTCCTCGCCTAGTGCGACAGAGCAGAAGATGCATCGTTACTGGTACCAAGCCGACAAACAAGTCGAAATCATAACGTCTCCGCTCCCGCCGGCTCCCCAGATCTTGATAGTAACGCGATGAGAAGCCAAGAATAAACGTGTACGCGACACGTCCTTCTGTTATTCACGATTGTGTGCCGTGACATCCTTTCAAATTATAGACTGTTCTTTGTACAGGTCCTTAATTAGTATTGTGCTCGCGTGCTATTTCATCACTTTAAATTTGTTAAACTTTTATCACTCGTTACAGTAGCACTTGTTATTTGTATGTAGCAAAACATTCACTGTCCGGTTTCCTTTCTACCGCGCGGTAAGCTTCGTGAATCCTGCAAGACTATTGGGTATAAATTTTGAATATGTACGCCGAAATGTGTGTGGTGATCTTCTCAGATTCCCAAATTTTATAACCTTGGAAATTAAGATCTTCGTTGAGTCTGTACCTTCATCCGAGGAAACGGGGCTAGTAACCGCTCCAGCTCCGATGTCTGAAAGAATTATTTCACATCGGTACATTCATTAACGATTCAAATTAAGTTTCTGAATGGGAAAAAGGTTATCTGGGGGGAAATGGGGAAAGCGGTTCCCTTGCTTCAAAAGGATAAGAACAAACCAAATCCAGCTAGGTACAGGTCAATGAATTTGGTGTTTGCAGAGCATCCATTAGTAAGCTCTTTGAGAGGATGATACAGAGACTCATACTGTTTCATTGTAAGGAGGCTTCCATTCCTCCCGATCAGCAATTTGACTACCAGGTCAAATACAGTAAAGTCCACGCAACAATAAAATTCGTGTTAGACGTCTGTTGTTAACGAAACTTTACTCATAGACCTGGAAAGGGTTTTTAACATGTTTCGATCGAGCGGTTTGGTGTAAAAGTTGATACGATACGGTTTCCTTAAACATTTTGTTCAGGTGATTTAGTCCATAATCTTCTGAAGGTGTCTCATTGGATAGTGCAAACTATAATGTCGTCTTCGGGGTGGATGACAGGCTGCAGCAGGGAATTTGTATTTTAGTCATGCCTTGAGCCTCTTCTATCTCAATAGCAACCTTAGCCTATGCGCGTTGATATTTGCTAATGACCTCCTGATTTGCGCAGCGCCAATGCATACGTCAAAAATTAATTCCAAGCCACAGAAAGTTTTCGATCGAATTATGGTTTACTGTGATAACTGAAAGCTCTGTATAAGTACTAGAAAGTGTCAGTCTATCTCTTTGAGGCTGTGCATGTCTAGACATTTTAATTTCAACTGTGATATGACTCGACATTCTCACTGATTTCTTATCACTGGTAATAGCCCCTATCCGTCCCGCATAAGAAAATGGTCAAATATCAGGATATATATTTGTATTGCAAATTACAGATGACACAGCATATTAAAACGCAAATGTAAAATAAATCAGAAAAGACTTTTATAACAAATAATGGTTCGTTCTTCTCAAAGCATCTCTACGTGAAGTGTAGTCTTCTGTTGTACAAATTGCTGGCAATAATCCTATCCCGACTTATGCCTGTCCGATTTGGTTCAATGTCACAACGAGCCAGCTCAGGAGTTTCAAACGGAAATGCCCGAGGCATTGCATGGGACTGTACCGCTGGAGCTATTATACATACCAATACAAATATTTTACATAATTTTATATACTATATACAAATTGCACATAGCTTTTAAATTCCTTGTATCTGTAGGGCGCGATGAGAATACCATAGACTCTTAGTTGACCTGTTTATGTTAGAATTAGCGAAGAATCATAGAGCCAAAGTACGTCTAATCGTCGATCAACTTTGATGGAGATTTATCTGATCTCAATCATAACTTATATCATGTTTTTAAATGAATTCAAAGTAGACTAAGCACCATCTATTTCCTCTTCAGGATTAATATTTCGATAAAACCGCGAACATGTATAAACCACGATAAATAATTTACGATTGCAACTATAATGCATTTTTATATGCAACTAAGAACACCTACACTTCCTTATATGCAGTGTGATGGATCCTCGCGAAAGAGATGGCATTTGTCAGTTATTTGTGATTTGTATCAATATAGAAGTGTAACGACACTGGTGGTTTAGTACGGGAACTGCTGGAAATTTTAAGAATAATCACCATTTTGGGCAACTTGTCTGGACGCTAATTTCTTTACAATTTGGATGATATTGAAATATGTTGCGGGGCTCAACGTAGTGGACAATTTTTTTTCTATACATATAACTAGCGATCGTTAGTTTACAAATTATGTATAAAAATGTACACACAAAACTACCGATCAGCTTTGCTAATAGGTTATATTAACTCTTTTGCTCCTAATGCTGGATAAATCGTTTGTTCTTTGTGACTGCAAGACGGGTTACATTCAAGACTTTGTTATTGTACGAAGGCTGGTACTACTATAGGACCCGAACATAAAGACTGTGGTAAATCAGGAAGTAATGTAATGTCCCTCCTAGAAGCACATTTAGGTAAAGGCCACACCCTTTACGTCGACAATTGGTACACAAGCCCCGCATTATTTGATATATTATACAAAGTTTTACAAATGCGTGTGGCACCGTAAAAGAGAGGAAAGAAGGAATACCAGAAATGAGCGAAAAATTACAAAAAGGAGAAGCGTGCTTCCGCTCGCCTGTAAATATATTAGACATAAAATGGCACGATAAAAAAGAGATTTTCATAATTTCAATAATACATACAGAAGAATTTGTAGATGTACCAAAACACTACAGTGCACAAGAAATTTTACAGAAACCATCTTGTGTACACGACTATAATAAATTTATGGGTGCTGCAGACAGGACCGACATGGCCATCAGCACTATAAATTCTACTCGCAAAATAACGAAATAGTACAAAAAAAATATTTCTTCCAGTATATTCATACGTGTTTATGGAATTCATATTGTCTGTACACATTGAAAACCAACAAAACAATATCAATTGCGAAATTTCAACTAAAATTAATAGATCAAATTTTAATGAAATAGCAGAAAAAACAACCCGACGTCCTATTACATCCGGAAATAATCACTCATCAAGACTCAACGGAAGACATTTTCCTTCACTTTATGAAGCTACAGGAAAAATTACATCACGAAGATGTGTTGGATGTGCGAAAGACCATAAAAGACGAGAATCTCGTTATCAATGCCAAGAATGTGATGTTCGGTTGTGTGTGTTTTTATGTTTCAAAACATATCATACTAAATTGAATTATTAGTCACTGTATATTATTCTTTCACTATTTTCAATTGTTAATCAGACTCTTTATACCCATTAAATAAGTTTATGATATATCTTTTATGTTGAAATTATGAGTATATTGTTTTAAAGAAAAGTCCTTTTTTTCTAAGATAAACAATGCGTATACTTTCGGCGCGGGGTCCAATTCAGTCGTGGAACAGAATCGCCGTAGCAAAAGAGTTAATACCGATAAGAGAATCCCCGGCCTGGCTGTCTCTAACCAAATTGCGATAGACCCCAAGGTTGTTGACGTAATGTGATTTCTGCCCAAAGCTCTGAATGTCAACTTGAAGAAATTCAAAAAAGGGCGGGTAAACGGCGGGGGTAACTATGACTCTCTTAAGGGCTGTAAGCAGCATACCTCTGTTAAACGGTCATACTGCGGGTCCCTTGGAGAGTCAGAGTTGCTCGGAAGCATGGGAGACTTAGGTCTCATCTGTTCAAGTCGCACTCCTACCTCCCCGTGCTATCGGCGGTAACATGTACGCAACGTCGGTCCGGAAGCGTTGTGGCGGATTTATCCGCTTCGAAAAGGACCATCGTTGACGTCTTGGCTATGTCCCTGGACTTGACATTTAAAATGGTGGTGCCGTTAGTGGGGGACAAGGTTGCTTGTCTAGTCTGCAAGAAAAGGGAAGTCAATCTTTTCTTTATGACGTTGCGAGACCTGGACAAGCGCCTTAGTCTACATCATGCGGATGCCCGCATTGAATGGAGATGTTTCAAATGTGGAAAAAGCTTTTTTAAGCTCCATGGGGCAAGATGTCATATTCCAAAATATAGCAAACCCCCCGCAATGCCAGTGAGGGTCGATTTAAATGCGACGCTTTCCCCATGAGTTTCGGGTTCCAAAAAAGGCTATTGACTCATGAACGACATGCGCACCCTGCTGTCAGAAATATCAAAAGAAGGGGGACGACGGACAGAGGAAACAAGTGACAGAGTATAGAAAGTAGAAGAGGTTACTCTCCTGAAGGAACTTGATGCAATATATAAAGATCACAAATACCCCAATTTAGAGATCAGCAAAATTTTAACAACGAAAACTGCTGAGCAAATAAGAAGCAAAAGGAAGACCTTAAGAACTGCAAACATGGAAGGGGGTCTTCAGGAGGTAGCCCTAGAGACAGAGGGCGGGTGCGATCTCGTTGAACCATCCATGGCGTCTGCGGGCCCAGAAACAAACGAAACTAATGAGGCAATGGTTCACGAGTGGCGGCAATGTCTTAAAACTGAGATTGAAAATCAAACCGAGGTGCCCCCTGTGTTAAGGAATATTTGCACCCATTACATACATTGAATGAAATTTGGGCCGAATCAAAAGAGAACAGACAATTTTTAATCGAAAAAATGGATAATTTTATTGGCACATCTTTGTATGGAGCACTAAGAAATAAAAGTAATGTAAAAGATAAGCCCCGATATAATCAGAAGGCAAATTATAATGTAAGGGATCAAGGAAAGAAAAAAGCAAGCAGAAATAAGAGAAAAAGGAACTCCTACGCACGTTACCAGGAGATATTCAAGGAATATCCAAAAAAGTTGGCCGACGTAATTATAAACAACGATCTAGCCAACTTAGAACCAGCCAGGCAACCGCCAAAGGCAAGGGAAGTGAAGAGGTTCTATGAAGCTCTGTGGGGTAGAATTGGACCCACAAATCCTATAATTCCAGAAAGCAAAGCCTCAGAGTTGTTACTAGGCGAGAGAATAAAAGAATTCGATATAAAACAGTGGCAGGGCCAGACGGACTTTTAAAGGAACATCTCCAAATATTTGGCCTACCGATAATAATAGCTAAAGTGTTCAATATACTATGATATGGTTTCTATTTTCCGGTCGCATGGAAGGAACGTTAATGTCTAAAGCTAACCAAGATAGAAGCAAAGTTGAGAATTGGTGGCCAATTACAATAGGCCCAATTCTCGGCCAAATTTTCTCATCTATCCTCGACGGACGGTTGAGAGAGGGCATCGCTCAAAATATTATGCAAAATGGATTCACATCCGAGAGCGGATGTAAAGTTAACATTGATCTATTAAATGCAGCATTGAATTACAGTAAGAGAAATCGGGGGCGGGGTGTATTCACAATTGTGGATATTTCCAAGGCCTTCAAAATATGATACCCCATTTTGCGATAAGACTAAGATAGAGGATGAGTCGAGTCCGTGATGATTGTGACTGGTGGCTGTAGATGTCGCTGCTGGGGGTACTGCTATATTTTCTTCCTATTTAGAATCGTGGAATAAAAATCGGACTTCGGTCGCCGGGATTCGATCCCGCGTTCCGAAACGTTTGTAACCTAATGCGCTAACCACTGCGCTACCGTCGCCCGTTAGTTGTTTATGTCGAGTAGCGGTATTTGTGCTGTCGAGTGCCGCTACAAGACCTTGCCTGGCGATAAAAGGCGTTCCGACCCCTATAATAGAAGTCATAGAGAAAATGTATAAAGGATGTAAGATCAAGTAAAAACAAAAGACAATATAGAGGTCGAGATTGAAATCCTCAGGGGAGTAAAGCATGGTGTTCCTTTGTCACCGCGGCTGTTCAACTTATGTTTTGAGCTGCTGCTGAAAGAAATCGAAAAGAATAGTACCGCGGGCATAAATATTAATGAAGGAAACAAGATTCCTGTGCTGACCTTCGCTGATGACATCGTCTTGCTTGGTGAAGACGAGAGAGAGGCACAATGCCAGATGGACGAGCTTCACAAATACCTGGAGAGCCTGGGCATGAATATATCGGTCGAGAAAACTCAAGCGTTCCCGGTGGTAGACAAAAAGGACACCTGATTCATAAAGGGCCCTGAAATAAAGATCAACAACACAAGAATACCCGCAATAGACCCAGACGTAGCCTTCAGGTATATGGGTGCGAAAATTAGTCCATGGGAAGCCGTCCATTGTGGCATAGTAGTGCCCGACATTCTGAGCATGGTGAGAAAAGTAGGGTCCTTGAAGCCATGCCAAAAGATCGAATTATTGACAAAGTATATTTTCCCTCGATTCATTTACAACTTATTCATTAATCTACCAAGCGACGGTGTCTTGGAGCTTATGAATAGCGAGGTCATGTAGGAAATTAAAGCAATTCTGCATTTGGTGCCATCGACCGCCACCGGGTTCTTTTACGCTCCGAAAAATTACGGAGGATTAGGGTTACCGAGATTCGAACACTTAGTGAAGCTTGGTACCCTGAGGAGCGCATTAAAAATAAAAAGATGAAGCAACGAAACAGGCTCTTCTTCCTGGCGGGAATTAAGCACGGTAATTTTTTTAAATTGGACATATCCTCGTTGTCTGGTTGTTTTGGGAAAATTGTTTATTATAATCCCTTTTGCAGCTACAAAGGGAATTCTGAAGTTTATTTAATTTTTCAAAATTTTTCTTTGGACGTCATTGAAACCGAAATTGTAAACGAGAAGGAAGAAAAATTTTTGTCGGAATTGAGAAGGTATCTAAATCAACACACAAATTTTTTGACTCCTGACCAGATGAGGGCTTTGCTTTTTGAAGACAACATATTCGGTTTGAAAAGAAAGACGTTAACAGCTGGAAAGTGTGACTACCATTTGATGGGTGCGTGTCAATGTTTCTTACATACTAATGTGCCTTTTTCGAAACTAGAGCGAGACACTTTTGTTAAGGAAGAAACGGAATTGGTTCCGTTGATAAAAAATACTACTGCTATTTTTGAACACAAATTAGATAAAGATGTGGTTGTAACTGGGAAATTAAACCATCCTCATGCCATGTCCGCGGCTTCGCGGTTGTGTTGTGAGGAATGGGTTTTGCGTAACCTACATTACCACAATAACGTAAAAGGCACGTTGGAAGGCGACGAGGCGTACATAGTGGATGTTGGGGCGAACTATGTGCGTCACGTGAAAAGAAATCGTTTTAACATACACTGCTGCGTGCCTTGTGTCGACGTGCGGGATTCCGCGCGTAAAACAGAGGGTAGCCATCATGCGGGCATTACTGAGAAAAGGAAAGATCGGAGAGAATACCTTCCGTGATTACGTGTATCCTGTGTCAACCAAGCGCAGATGTACGAGACTCTCGCAAGATTGTTTTATTAAAGCTGCGTATGGTATGGCTATACATTCTCAATATGACATTAAATTTGATGACCTGGCTAAGACATTTGACGTTCACAGGATATAAATCTTCTGGAGCGTTATTAATTTTGACGTAAAAATTTTTTATAAATTAAACTGGTTCATAACGGAGCAACGAACTAATTTCGTTAAGAAGAACGGGAGAATTTATTTCTCTTTCGTTAATGACCCGTCTTTGAATTATTCACGCGATTTGAATGACTATATGCGTATTTTTATTGAGCAAGTTGTTGCGACGCTAAAAGAGGCAAAAGGGGCAACCAAACACACGGTCTCAGAACAACAGGTGCCGAATCTTAGTTCAAGATCGAGAACACTAAAGTCAATTCAACCAAGAGGAAACCATCGTGCAAATGGAAGAATGGCCCGCTGGTCGCCCATTCAACCGATGAAAACAGTGACTGATGTCAAATGTCACACTTAAGAGAATCAGGAAATCTAATAAAGCGCGTAAACGATAAGTCCTATATATATACATAGAAACGCGCATACTACGGGGAACAGTTCACTTCAGTATTTTCCTGCCCCGTGTTCGATCTACGAGTGTGGAAGCATATTAGCAAACGATATCCCATCTAAAAGAGGAGGTGTTATGTTCGCGCAACATATTTTCATTCATATTTATTTAGAGATCGTACGTTCGATTTAGACTATGGAAAACTTGGGACCAACGTGAAGCAGAAATCTTTTAAACGAAAGCCTCACGAACCCACGATTTCTTCCTATTCAGCAATAGGAAGTTTCCCCCAACTTCTAAGGTGTGAAAAGGGTAATAAGAAAGGTTAGACGGGTTCAGTCGATCGACAGATTCGCTACGAGAAATCTCTGAAAAATTGGGTATCGAAATCACACGCATCATCGACTTTAGTAACTACGCGGTACATCGAATTGCTATTAAACATTATTTCACATTATCTTTTGACCCTCGGTGAAACGTATGGTCAGAAGGATTCGATTCTTTGTCCGTCGCAATTGAAACTTAACTTCAATTTAATATCCTTTTTGAAATGTCATGTTTTCTAAAATAGAGTCTACACGTAGATACCGTTATTATTACACTAAACAGTCATAAGCCATTAGTCATAACGTATATAGTATGTCCATTTTAAGTGCATACGCGCTATTATTTCTATACATATAAAAAATAGGGAAAAAAGTTTCATATAATGAAACAGAAAAGGATTTTGACGAACATTCAGATTTAAACGATAAAACTTGAGGACATAGAAAATAATTTGAGAAGGTCAGGACGAAACAGAAAGAAACCTCAAGGAAATGGCCAAACTAGCTCATATTTCATTTATGTTAGTTCTGCTCGAGCAGTCGAGCTATGCGGACGTGAGAACCGGTGCCTCCGTAAGTGCGACAAGTTTTTTTTTTCATATTTATTAAAATTACAATCAATTCTCGTGTTGAGAATTTTTAGTAGTTTTTCTGGCGTGGCGCAGTGACATGGCTGATTATTTATAATAAGTTAATACTTATTATAGATAAGTATAATTTATAAGTAAGTATTTTAAATAATTAAATATTACTTAATTTAAATAAGTAGTTGAATCTATCGTTTAGGTGTAGCGGGTAGTGTCTCTTCAGCCTGCGGATCTGGTCCATCGTATCAAGTAGTCCAGTGATTAGGGGGTTTCGGTGTTTGTTGACTCTTTTGCTATATCTGTCGCTATATTTTGCTATTTCCTCTTGAACTGTGGGTATCTTGAGGTCGCGGTGTATTGTTTCATTGGTAACATACCAAGGTGCATCAATTAGGGATCTTAGCGTTTTCGATTGGAAGCGTTGAAGTATTTCAATGTTGGAGTTACTTGCTGTTCCCCATAGTTGGATTCCGTAGGTCCAGACAGGTTTTATTACGGTCTTAATGGTGACCTGGAGGCAGATTTGTTTTCGGAGAGTGAAGGTTACATGTGAGGATTTTTTTTTCGTTAATTTTGAAGTCCCATTTATGAAACCACTTTTCCATGGAGTCGAGGCATCGCTGGAGAGTGGATGAGGCAATTACCGGGTCTGCGTGGATAGCTAATAGCGCTGTTGCAATTGTTATCTCGTTTGATATAGGTAAGTCGGCAGTGTAGATGGAGTACAGCAGGGGTCCGAGGACACTTGGGGTATGCCGGATTCTATTGGGAATGTTGCGGAAGTGGCGTCTAGGCATTTAAACATGAATTGTCTATTGGTTAGGTAGGAATTTAGGATGGAGTAGTAGGAGCGAGGTAGGATCTTTTAAAGCCTGTATAGTAGCCCTTCATGCCTACTTTGTCGAATGCCTGTTGGATGTCTAGGAATTCCGCTGAGCAATATTTTTTATTTTCATGGATTTGGCTGATCATGTGGGTTATGCGATGAATTTGCTCTACTGTTGAATGTTGTTTCCGAAAGCCGAATTGGTGATCTGGGAGTGTTTTCAAGTCCTCTAGGAGTGGTAGAAGTCGATTCGTGAGCATCTTCTCGAATAGTTTAGACAGGATAGGTAAAAGACTGATTGGGCGATAGAAGCTAGTTTCATATATAGTTAAGAATAGCATTAAAAATCGACGTGATGAGTGCTATCCCTTTTATGGGAAGTTCCTTGATTGCTTTATTGCCTATTAGGTCGTGCCCTGCTGCTTTCTTGGGGTTTAGGCGACTGATTGTTTCTATAGTCTCTGCCGAGGAGAAGGGTTCGATAGGAGGGGACATTTGGAAGGGGGTGTGCAGGTATTCAGTAACGTCCGCGGCGGCTTTGGGGGAATGGGGTTTGAATACTTTTGACAAGTGTTTAGCGAACAGGTCGGCTTTTTCTATAGGGCTTCGCGCGCTATAGGGCTACGCGCCTATCCAACTTGCGGACGGCGGATTGGAGGGATTATTTGTGGGGGGCGCGTGAGAGGAAATAACCAAAATCTTTACAGACAGTTCGGAAGTACTAACCGAGTCGAATGGAATAGGAATGATCAAGCAAGAGACTGATGGACGGTAAAAGGAATAAGCATCAACAACAAAGCAAACATTTCCACCACGGGGCGAATGCCTGCAAAGTTACTCACATTAATGTTCGGCAATTCTCTAGTCCATCTTCTCATTGAAATCCTACTAAATTATCACCATTACCTATAAATTCTACGTGTCTTGCAATTGTAATTTTATTAGTAACTAGGATCCAATTGTGGGTCATAGAATCTGTCTAACCACATTTGTATCATGAATGACGGACCACCCTCTATGTAACACAATACTATCCATATCTGCCGCTATGTTTGGTTGTTGTCCATGTTTATTCTTTAATCATTCATATTCATTCGTATTGTTCGTTAGGATACGTTTTCGTTTATTTATTACAATGACATATTTAAACACAAACATTTTGAATATAATATTCTTACAATATTCACGATTTTACTTTTATTTTACGAGATAAAAGTTACATTTATCGTTACACTTTTGTCATAGCATTATAAATTATTATGAAAATACATAAATGTTTTCTTTCTTTTTTATAAAGTAATATAATTTATTTACAACATATAAAAATTCTTCTTTTGCTACACCTGATATTAATTAAAAAGTACTATTTCTTGTGATGAATTACTATTAAGTGTGTTTTTTATAAATTTAATTTTCATGCCAATGTTATATGAAATATTTGGTGACTTTGATCAGGTTACTATTAACGTTCATTATTTTACGTTTTTTATTTTTTTTTATATGTCCTGTACAAAGCAAAATATTAGCGGAAACTTCCCAAAAATATTTATTTCTAAGGTTTTTCAATAGTACAAAAATATTTAATATAATTTATGAGAGATATTTCCCATTACCATTTCCCATTATTTGTTTTTAAAAAATAAACTTATGTTTAAATATACATATGGTAAAAGAACCAAATTGTTATTAATATAATC